GGCCGCCCTTCCCCGGCCGGGTCCCGACCCGAGCGGGCCTTCCCCGGCTGGGGAGGGGCAGCCTTTATCTGGCGGGGCTGCCTAACGTGGGTGCCGCGTCACTCCCGCGTGATAACGATGTCACGGCGTTGCTCGGCGCTTCTGTGCGAGGTGCCCTTTCTGTGCCGTGTGCGCCTCGGCCTAGGGGGAGGTTAGGGCAGCGCGGCGGTGCTGGGGTGCTGCCGGTTGCGTACGGGGGTAGCTGGGAGAGTAGCGCGTCAGCGTGGGATAAGGCCTCGCTTCACGGTGGTGGCGTTTTTTCTTCTAACAAACAGAAAGCTCTTTGCCAAAACCCTGCTTAATTTGAGGATTTGGTTAAATACGTTTTTATCCTTCTTAGGGTGCCCTAAAGCTATAGGGGGCACTTACATGGATGTTAGAGATCGGTGTTCACCAGGTGAAACTCGGCCTTCCTGGGGAGGTCTGGCTACGAATTTGCAAGCAGTGCTTGATGCGCATTAATGGGCTGTCAGCCTGAAGGTAAGAAGTGGGCTGTCGGCTTATGTATTTTGGCGCTCTGACGAGCTTCTCGCTTGTTCTACAACAGCGTTTTCAGGAAAGCGAATTTAGGTTGTTGTGTTGACGCTGCCCTTTTTGCGCTGGGTTACAGCAGAACAGTGGGGTTTGGAGCGGGAGGTGCGGCTCTGTCTGCGGCCCTGAGAGCTGCTAACACAGCTGTTGGCCAAGCAGCAAGGCTTAATTTACACTAATTACCACTAACAGTTCTTCTTTCGTATCTCTCCTTTAGTCAGGGTTTTAAGCCTCCTTTTGAACTTCAGAACAATGTGCTGCTGCATCAGGGCTTCTCACCTGTGCTGCCCGAGTGCTGCTGCGAATGGAGCAAGCTCGCCAGCGCTTGCTGGGTTTGTAGGCAGCCGCAGTGTGGCAAAGGCCTCGCTTGCTGCCCCCGCTGTCTTCTGAAGTACCTCAACAGAGCCTGACTTCAGGCTCAACTGAGTTAGTTTCTACATCAGATTTGTTGCAACAGCAAAGTCCGAGTTTCTTGTGCAGTTTCTTGCCTAGTTTGGTAATGAGCTTAAAAGGAGAACTAAACCACATCTCTTTCTCACTGCCCCCTCCTTCCACAGTTTCTGCATTCTCTGTCTCATACTGCTCCTGTTTAACTTGTCTTAAACTTCTCTTTCTGCTGCTGGTTGTTCAGGTCTTTGTCTTGCTCTGTGGTAATGCCACCTCTCTTTGTGCCTTTCTGTGCGTGCTGCCCGTCAGCATGCTCTGGAGCGCTCTGGGTAGTGGAGGGATTAAATTTCTTTGGAGGTGGAGGAAGGAGAAAAACCTGCCCATTCACTAGCAGGATTCTGGGTCAGACTAATTGAGGTCTTACGGAAGGACAGGATCCTGATGAGTAATTAAGGAACTGTAAAAGGAGGAAGGCTAGCGGTGGCTTTCTGGTGGAAAACAGAACCTCTTTTTTTTTTTTTTTTTTTTTTTTTTTTTCTTTCTTCCCAGAGGACTTCTGAAACTGAGAGGCCAACTTTTATTGTTGGGCTGCTAAGAAAGCCAGTTATCTGCTAGCTGGCTGGGAAGTGAGTTCCCCTCAGGACAGACTAAGGGACTGCTCATTTGTTCTAGGTTCAAGATGTCAGTTGTCAGCTGAGCTCCAACAAATTGCATTTTTTTTTATATGCAGTTGTTTGGATTTTTCTCCCTCTCTCTGACTTCAGGCTGGTTTATAACCCAGAAATTATGTAATTTTGATGGAAAGTCACTTAAAGCCATAATTTAAATGAAAATAAAAATATGTCGATTTTATATGTGGAAGTTTTTTTAATGGAAATACTTTGATATAGTTGAATGCTTTAAGTAAAACCGAACAAAAGCTAATTAACTAGGGATTTTTTTTTTTAAGTGTTGGTTCAGCTTTTAAAAAAACACAGGTTTAAGAATCCTTAAGCTTTCTTAGTTCTCCAAGACTTAAGCATTTTACTCTGGGGATTTCTGGATATCCCTGCTGTTTGGCAAGAGGCGTACTGTGGATGGTGTGTATGCATAACGTTCGGTTGTGCAACCGTGCTGACATTAATGGAAGATGTGGTAAAGCCGGCAGAAGAGTATACGCAGTGGTGGGGCAGGGAGCTTACCTGAAAGCTTAAAGCCACCTTGGAAAACACGGAATGATATTTTTGTTTTCCCAGAGGGAAGACGGGTATCTGGCATGCTTGGGGTGACAAAAGGAAACGTTCCCTGCTCGCCGGCACACTGTGCGATTGTTCGTGTGCCAAGTGAGCGGGGTTTTGAAAGGCTCATTGACTAATTCCTGCAGCAATTCTGGAGTCTTAATGAAAGCACAGAAACTTAGAGGCCTTCTGGTTCTTGTGCCTGCCCCAAGCACATGCAGGCTTTTATTAATTTATGTTAGTTAATAAAGTTAATTTATGAACTTACGTGTATTTTTTCATAATCTGCATTTAGGATCTCCAGGCTGTATAACTCCTCATGAAATTCTGAAGTTAAAATGAGTAACTAACTAGTATAAGTTTCCTTAGTCTGTGTTGTTTCTTGGCATGGGAGGCTTTCAACTTTTTATTAAAAGCTCCTTTTTTTCCCAGGGTCTTTCTGTTCTTTTCTGATTGCACAGGCATGGCAATTTTATGATCACTATGCCTTCTGAAGGAACTCAAGTAATTTTAATAAGTAGTAAATTCTTTGTTGTTGTTGTTGTTTTTTGCCTTCACTCTATCAATTCCTTCTCATTATTCCACGATATCAAAACAGCTCCTGGGGGAGGGAGAGGGCAACAGTCTCCGAGCATTAGGTTGGTGCGAAGGCACCTATGCCGCTTCTGGAGTGTGTTGGGCAGACCAGCAGTCACAGCTTTAATGTGCATGTCATTTTTTGTCTATGGAATGAAAAACTGCTGAGGAGAGGACTGATCATCTTTAGAAGGGCTTCTAGACAAGGTGCAAGTTCATATTCCCTCCTCTGGGAAGAAGTTGGGTTATGCTTGTGTTTTATGCTATGTCATGGAAATGTTCAGCCTGTTCTTTTGAAAACAGTGTGTGTTCTGGTGTTTATATTTTCCTTTTTTTCTCTTTTTTCAATTTTTTTTTCTTTTTTTCTTCTCAAGAGGCTCTTCAACACCTTTGCTCTAGCTCATGAGTAGTGGACTTACTCCTCTGGGTCAAGTTAATGGAAGTAGCAGTAGTACAGCATTGTTTAAATACCAGTCAGCCAGTATCTTACTGGATTTTAAATCCATCCTGAAAATAACGTTTGCTTTAACAAAAGAAGTGTGCACAGCTGCGAGCTTGATGGTTTGGAAGTGCTGTGCTCCTGCTGCATCCTTTTATTCCGCTCCATTTTGTTGGTAGGGCGTTGTTGCATCCAATCTGGGATATTTTATCAGGCACTGAAACTTCATGAAAGAACCCAAACTGCGAGATTTTGCCAAGGGTTATGAAGTTCTGGTGCTCGGTATTCAGTTTCAGGATAGCTCAAGCTGATCTTAACTGCTGCTGCTCCAGTTTTACTCCGTTCCTTGTGGCTGTCGCCTGATCCTGCAAGAGCTAGCTCACAAAGCCACACTGCCAGAGAAACAGCATACACGCACAAAAAAGCAATGGGTTAATTCCTTGATCTTTGACTAATGTAGGTGTAATGATTCCAGAGTCTGTCTCTGCGTTATCTTTTCTGGTGGAAACCCAAAGCTCAAGTTATGTCTCAATGTGAAGGTTACCTCTGCTAGGTGCCACTTTTATAAGTGGTCCACCCTAGAGTTTAGATTCAGGGTGAATCAATGCAGTTATGTTCCTACCTGTCACTAGATTTTACCTTTTTGTTAATGAACACTAGGTCCACAAACATTGGAGCTGATGAAAAGCTGACATCATGCTAATATGCAGTAAAAGTAGTCAGGCTTTAGCAGGAGGCTGACGTTCCATGGATTCTCTATCAGCTCTGACTTCTGTTAGCATTTTTTCTTCCATGATGTTAAGGTTTTTCTTTCACTGTAAATAAATATAATGCTGGTGTTTTTCAGTGCTGGTGA